CGAAGAAACTGAATGTCTCAGTTTTTCAGACAGTTCAGAAGGGCTACGTAAGGTTCACAGGAAGTGCGCGGCTCGACAAGTTTCAAGGGAACGCGTCCAAGCTCTCAGGGACTTCCTCGCTCGAGCTTCCTTTGAAACGGTCACCACAACAGAATCAAAGGAAGGCATTGCAAGCAATGGAAAAGAAGGATCCCAGTTGCCTCAGCCAGCAGATGACACAAGGATGCGCTGGCTAAGAGATGTGCCCCCGTGTTTCGCTTCCTTTACACGCTTCAACTGTAATGTCACACTCGTGGGACAGAGACTGTTTGGCTCGCAAATGGGCGTCTCAGTCCTCTGTAGCGGCACAGTGACAGTTAAAGGTAGTGACACGGTGCATCTCTTGACGCATACTAAGGCTGGTGAGCTCGTTTACGCCCGACATGTCATGCTCACTCCCACGAGCTGCTTGTCTGATAAGCCTGCGCACCAGTGCCAGCCCTTTTCCTATGGCTTTCTGGTGGTCAATCTAAGTTGCCTATCTCCAATGATTCGTGACCTAGTTCTCGCTGAGACTCTTCCATTTGGTGGTATACTTGACCGTTGTGCAGTCAGCAGATCCGTTGAAACTGATAAGCAGCTACACGTTCATCTGGATAGCCGCTTTTTCGGGTTAGATGACAATATGGCTCTGTTTAGATTGGAAAGCGAAGAAACACCACCCGAGTCGAGTGGCCCCTACGTGCAGCAGCCACCGCTAAACTGCCAATGCAACACTTTACCGCCGGGCACTGTCTGCACATTCGGCCGACTGACGACTGTGTGGACCTACGGGCGGGCGGCGGCCCGTGTCGTTGAAATTTTGAACGAAAGAGTTGTGCTCCCTGCCCTATTTAGGGCGGAGGCAGAGCAAGAACGACATAATGGACATGCTGAGGGGCCATCTCAGTGCTCAGAGAATGCAGATGGTGGCATGGACGTATTTCAGTCACGAAGAGCTTTTCTTGCGGGCCGATGCCTTCAGTCAGTGGCTCGCTGTCCTCTCCATTTTAGAGACCTCCCAAAGCCCCACGTGACAAGGAGTGATTTGGTGCATTTGAAGAAACGTGGTGGGGGATGTTCCCTTTGTGGCAGCAAGAGTTGTTCTACGGAATTCCACGCAGCCTTCACGGAGGACCTCAGATAAGCTGAATTTGGAGCGGCATATAGACATATATATATATATATGTGTGTGTATATATATATATATATGATTATACATGGGCGTACTGTGTAGTTACGTTCGTTGAGTGTGATTTTACTCGATGGAAGCCAGGAAGGGAACAGGTCCGTTGCTGTAATTTTCAAATTTGAATGCGCACGGCACACCTGCTGTGGTGTAGCCCGAGGGATCTGGGATCCGCGTATCGCATTTATGCGGGCGTAGATAGACATGAGGTACGCAACTTTTTGTGTTCTGCGTCTCGTCTAGCTGCTTAAGAAGCTCGTTGCATCGATCGATCCGCAATCGCGAACCCGCCTTCTCTTTTCTGGCTTCTTCCGTGGAATTTCACGCCTTCAGACCGAGGGTTATTTTCTTCTCTCATAACTTGTTTGCGTGTAGCGTGAGGCTTTTTGCCGTCAGGGAAAAGTTTCGGCTCGCAAATCGTTGGTCAAACCTGGGCATAGGGGTGAAAACCTAATTCGACAGTATAGTAGCTAATTTCTCCCGAAATTTCCCTCAGCACAGCTGGAGTTCAATTCGTTTAAGGCGGACGGTAAGAGGTATCGGGGACGCGTTGTCCGCCTTTTCTTCAGCTCTAAATGGGTAAGAATCAATGCATACTCAATTGAACTGCTGGGGTTACAATGAACCTCAAGTGGGCCACTTCCGGTAAGCAGAACTGGCACGAGAGATGCTCTAATAGATCTGTCTCTAGTGCAGATCTTGGTGGCGCTAGCGAGTATCCCAGGGAGAGCTTTGAAGAGTGAAGTGGAGAAGGGTTACGTGAACGACAGCTGGATATGGACTAGCCGGTCATAAGCGAGAGCCTAACTGCGTGTTATTTTCAGGGCATTTTGCCCTCGTATTTCGGTAATGTGTCTCAGCAACTATGTGGATGCTGCAGGATAACGTAAATAGAATGCTCGACGCAGGCAGCTGCGCAGATTGTCTTCGCTTCTTAACAACCTCTTACACATAACCTGGAATTAGCTAATTTGGAGACAGGGCTGACTGGTTAGTAAAGCTCCCTGGTTTCCAGGGGATCCGGTATGCTCCTGAGTCCTCTTCAAAAAAGAAGGAAAAATTGTTACTGGCACCCTTGGGCATGCAATCAACCGCATCAGATCTCGAAGCTTAGCAATATCTGGTTGGTAGACGAAAGCGGATAGGGAAAGTAGAAAAAGTGGACTCATATCTTTAGGAAAAGGGCTGGCTATGAGGGCTGCGTGCATAGCGCCAGTGTGTCTTTCGTCAGTCGGAGCTGTGCGATTCCGTTCGCGGATAGCGGCGCCTCTGTGGACTGCCGGCATTGACTGCATCATGACCCCTGGTGTGCGTGCACAGTGAACAGCTAATGCAGAGCTGGAGCGGACAAGGGTAATCCGACTTTTAATTAAAGCAGAGCGGTGCGATGGCCGTAAATGGTGTTGACGCAATTTGTTTTCTGCCCGTTGCTCTGGATGCCAATATGATTAAATTCGACCAGGCGCGGGTTAACGGCGGACGTGACGTTCTTGAGGTAGCCAAATGCTTCGTCATATAATTCATGACTTGCATGAATGGATTAACGAAATTCTCAAGAAGTCTTCATGTTTCAAGAGCTCAAGGCAGCTATGCAGTGCAAGGTGTACATTGAATTAACGCCCACAAGCCAGGTAACGGCTACGTAGACGTAAATACTGCATGCTCAGGGAATGGTATGTATTCCGCTGAGTAGCAAAACAAGTTCTTCAAGCGCTTCAGGACACTTCAGAGCCTGCTCGCGCTAGCGTAACGGATTGCGCTCTATAGAACAAGAGACATCGGCGATCTGCTGTGAGTATCTGTTAACAGCGAATCAGCTTACTACGAAGCGCAATACAGGAACATTTGCAGTGCCTGCAGAAGCATGAGACAGACGCCCCAGGATAGACAAAACACAACCCACTATTCCGCATCTTGCAGGCCGGGCAGGGCGTGGCGCTCATGTTCCGTTAGATTGACCAATGTTGGCCATTTAGTGCCTTCCATGAATAGGCGCGTGGATGACATATCCACCCACACTACAGCTAGTTGCGGAAAGCTTTTGGCATCTAACATCAGCAAATGTAAACACCACAGCCTTAACCACCCTGTGTATTCACTTGAGGAAGGACAGTGTTCATTCTTGGAGCTGGAGTTACCTAAGAACGTTAGGGTGCTACTGCAGCTGGCACCCCAACGTTACTCATGGTAGCTCTAAAGAGACACAAAGGCTTTTCAAAAAGCTATCACCCTTCTCCATGGGATCGCGTCGACTGCAGCATGCAGCCCTGACTCCTTTTTCTTACGTGCGCGTTCAAGTACCCCTTGTTAACAGCACAGGCAGCAGTCGTACTGCATTTCACGCCGCGAAAAGCATCCAGAAAGGACCCAGTATTACACGTGTGAACTAAGTTTGCTCAATGTAAATACCAGAGAGTGTGTGTACCACAGTTGGCTTTGTCCTTATGGACAGCATAGCAGACTCTGTGCTTATAGCCCCTTCAGCGCGCTGGCTGCCATGGTGCAGCAGGACACCCTACCTGATTTATCTGCCGATGGAACGCGCATCTGATTCTGTCCTTATGGCCCCTTTCGGGCGCTGGCGCCCATGGTGTAGCAGGCCACCCTATTTGCTTTCTCCACTAGTGGCTCATAATCAGAGGCTACATACAGCTACACAGGAAAAAAACACTGCTGAAGAGTGAAGCGAAGAGCGCTGCTTTTGCCACGAGCTGGATTAAGGGACAACCATACAGTATCTACATAGTGTCTCCCGTGAGCCTGTAGTGGCCACTATTGAGTAGCAGTACACGAACTGTTCGGCCCATCCATTAGTTTGTGAACGGGTACATTAATTTAAGTATACGTCTAGCAAAAGTGCTCCAAAATCGTCGAGCGCAGTTTTTGCCTCTATCTGGTCCTTTGTTAGTCTCCTTGGATCTTCATAGGCAGCCAATTATGCTGGTTACTCCAGCAGTGGTAAACTAACATACAATACGGCACATTCCGTATTATATAGCTTGTTCAGGTCACCAATATCAAGCAAGTGTGTTGGTAAATGCGCAGTGGACAGAGTTCCGAACTCAGCTTAGGGAGCTGACAAGAGGGCAGAGGCTCCAACACATCCAACGTTGCCAAGAGCCATAACTAAGCGGCTCGTGGTCATTTTATCTTGGTAACAAGTCCTACGAGTCATTGCGCTCCACGAAATAACTTAACGAAGGTTCATACCGTCAGCAGCGGCAGTCGAACACTGGATCATTTAGCTGGCTATGGAAGCCGCATCTTCCCTGGAGGGAGTTAATACTCTCTAGCTTTCCAATAGTCTGATGAGCACATTTAATAACCCAAACGTATGCGTTTTATTGGAGCTTCTTTGGCGAAATCGGCTGCAGCTTCTTTCAGGGCTTGACCGAACCAAACCGAACCATGGAACCCGCTGCTTACCCTTCCTGCGTCGGCAGAGGCTCTGAATTATTTCCACGGCAGTTTCTCAGCACGACAGTCTTAGTTATAAGCTAGGTGTGGCATTTGGGCGCCATATGCACCAAGTGTTCTTTTTCTAAGGTGCACTGTGGTGCATTCGTGGCACCGCCTTCACTGGTTCATTGTGGACCTTTGATCTTTTGAGCTTCAGCTTTAGTGCTGCCTAAACACTGATATGATTGCATCCGATGAAGCAGTATTTTTGTTATTGGGAAGTCACACCTAGGCAGCCTACTTTCTGACGAGAGTAGGCGTGCTTTCGGATTCAGCTCAGTGAGGCAGCTTGAGCTGCAGGATAAGGTACTGTCTTCCTGCAGGCAGCCAGGAAATGAACAATTCGCAAGGGACTGAGCAACAACTGAATAGCGATGAGGGACCTGAGAGGGGTTTGCTCGGCTCGGGAAGAGAAAGCCCCCTTTCTGTTTCGGAATTGCCGCAATTGGACTCACACATGGTAAATGAGGCTGGGACTCGTCGACGAGGTTCTCTTATGGCGGCGCCCGAAGGACGACCACAGGAAGCATTCCAAGTTGCGGAAAATTCCATGGTTGAATGGCCAAGAGGACCACGCAATGCCGTTTCGCGCATTGGATATATCAGTGATACAGCAGACGCATCTGCAGAAGACCATGGTAAAGTGGTGCTTACGAAAGGGAAGGCCGATGAGGTCGATACTTTACCAGGCCCACCACCAACAACAGCTGTCACAAGTCCTTCGGTAACACCGAGGGATATGAAGGGTATCAAAGCCATCTCCCGCCAACGAGTCCAGCAAATGCATCTCGCTTTACCTACTACAACGTGAGTGGTTGCATGAAAACTCGGTTTAAGCTTCAATGTAATTGTAAAGATATTGCAGGGTGTGCACTTTGCCGTTCGACAGTCTCAGAAACTACATTCTACGACTAGCCACAGTGATAAGGCGTTGAGTGATGTGATATCTGGTTCAGGGGACAGATTCGGCCGCGGCCAAAACCACAAGAGTCCCCAAGGAAAGAACCGCCTCTTTCGATCAGCCCAAAGCGAGGATATATAGCTTCTAATCACGTAGACACTCTCCAAGAGTCGGTTAAGAGTGCACCATGCGGCATCTTAACCCCCAAATCCTTAAGCCGTCCCGCATCTTCAAGTCAAGTTTTTTCTGCAGGGCAGCATACGGAAGGAAATTCCATGTTTGAACTGCCTTCAACAACAGACGCCAGGCAGAGAAATGAAGCTGTACTAGAGCAGAAATGCACTGGAACCGAACAGTCGCGTTTGCGGTCCCACGGAGAAGCAAGCATCATTCCCCAGAGCGTTGTCACCACAGGGGCCTCTGATAGCCGGCGTGCCTCACTTCAAGAGCGAGAGAAAACTAATGGTTCAGGCAGTACTGCCAATGACGTCGTGAACGTTGGGAGCTATGGAACCCGGGCGCGCACAACTTCACCTGCCAGCACAGCGAACATGCAGAAAGCCATGGCTGGGGTCTTTTCAACTGCGAATGAGAGGAGAGCGGCCGCACTGGCCTCTAGGATCAGTTCACGAGCTATTTCGCGTGCGGAAGGGTCAATAACAGACCTGAGGCTACTCGCAAAGAAATCAGATGTTACCCATGCAGCTGCTGAACAACTGCGAAGGATGAGGGACTTGAGCACGAACCCGCAGCACGACGCTAACAAGACAGACGTAATGGAAGTGAGTGCACAGTTTGGCGTTGTATGACTAGTGCACCTTCGCACTAGACTATTCCGTGCTTGACTGATAATATAGGTGTACGGATGTATTCGAGCAGCATGTTGATGATTCAGCCGCTGGTATTCGGTGCTCTTCAACATTCGAACCTGCCTGTGATCTTTCTCCGGTTTACAACAAAGTGTCTGGCTGGGTATTAGTCCGAAGAAGCATATAAGCCTAAAGCATAATGCTGCAGATTACAATTCTTTTAGAGATACCAATCCAGTGCGAAACTGTGGTGACATGCAGAGCCCTCACCTGTACACGGACCTTGTCAGTTCCAAGATGGCCGCCGAAAAAGTGGGGAGCGCCTTGGTCCCAACGCCGCCCACTGCTCCTCCCAAGGACAGCTCTCCTGTGGGCGCTGTAGAGGTGTGTGGGGCGAACTTCCGCAACATTCTCGAGCCGATCAAGCTAGTTGGCGATCTAAAGTGGTTCTTTTTCTGCATCACGTATCCTGGTGATTATGAACGTTTTCTATCTGCACTTCCTCTGCTTTATTTGCAGCCGACGGACTCAACAGTTCAGCAGCGGTCTCGCATGCCGCAGAACATGCATGAAACTCAGTTGGAGCTTACTCTGGCTGCTGAAATGGGGGAGCAGAGACGAGTTGCAGCAATAACATCCCGCGCTCGCTCACGTATTATTTCGAGAGCAGAGGGGACCTCTGAGGGAGGGCAGTTGGACTACCACACGAATGTCGCAGAAGCTGCAGCAGAACAGCTACGAAGATTGGAGCAAGCTTCAGGAAAAAAAGTGAGAAAAGAGAAATTGCCCTTTTGGTGGCGCGTAAAGCCCTGCTGCGAATAAGAAGTGTTCGCACCACCACTGCGTCCTCATCGAGCATATTCCTCGCTTCAGCAGTTGGTCAGAATCGTGTGTGTTGTAGTGCCCAACAAAACGCTGCATTCCAATTTCCGCTGCATTACAGTGGATAGGCTTCTGTTAGTTAAGAATTTTATTTACAGCGGTGCAGTGAGATTCGGAATCCTGCTTTCCAATGGACACTGGAGGACACAATACTCTGACTAGTTGCTGAGATTATATACTTCCTTAGGCGCAGCGTACTGTGTAGTGCCGCTGAGAGTGTCATTCATGGTACATATCCGTGCTGTGTGCGTCAACTCCGTCTATAGGAAGTCCCACAGACGCCTCTTCGGAATGACAAAGCTGAGGATGAAGTGAGTAGTCAAGAAATGCCAGCTACTGCTGGTTTTGCTCCCCAGTCCACTTTGTCTTATGAGTTAACGTGCATTCAACAGTGAGCCTTAGGAGTTATCCGATCAGTTGCGAAACCATCTCAGAAGCTCAAGCAAATATGTCATAGTGGCGACTGCATAAATGGTTCTCTTCTGTTCATCATTCAGGCTGCAACAAAGATTCAATCGGTATGGCGCGGGACTAGACTGCGCGTTTGGGTAGTTGCTGCACGAGCTGTTGCTCATTTCACCACATGTGCAGTGCCGCATAGTAAAAGGAACTCTTACGGAATAAGCCGGCACGGAACTTTGCCATCTTTGCAGCAGCCCCGTGACGTTGCAGCTGCGGGCTGCTAAAGGCAAAACGGCGTTTGTTGGATGCAACATTGTTGGCATCCTCGCCAGCACAAGCTAGTTCTGGAATATAAAAGACCCATTGTATTATAGTGCAAGCATTTCCGACTTAGTAGGGGAGTTAAGTAGCAAATGTAACACCCCGCAACAATTGCACTTATCCCTGAATGACCTACCGTCCATCTGAAATAAAACAATTTTGCTTGGAACTTAGCTCATAGTAGAATGGCGGGTGGTTGGACGCCCGTAATCAAATCACCTCTTTCCGTGCCTGTACGTGTTTTGGCCACAAGATTGGTAGATTCAGAGTTGTCAGACCCAAAATCCCATTCCAGTTTGTAGTCTAAAAAGAAGAGCGGTGACCGTTTGTTGTGCGGTTTACCGCTGCGCAGACGGAGCCGTGCGCCTCTTCGGTTAGCCCTCTTGCGAAGCCTCACTGCTCAATGGATGAAAGGACTAACGCAGAGGCACAGGTACCCGTGACGCTGCACTTCCGGAATGTATCTGTGCACTGCACGTCAGCTGGCAACTCACCAACTACAGGTACAAATAAGAAAAGAAACGAAGGCCACTGATATTGTCTGGGAACGATCCAATTCAGTTCTCTAGCGAGGTACTTATCCGAAATGAGATGTAGGGCTGTTAGCATAATCTACCGAAATAGTGCTAGAAGTGGAATACTGCTGCTCCGAGCCTACGGCATGTTGCAGCACGGAAACGTCGCTCCTCTACCGGCAACGGGGGGAAGGGGCTACGACGTGACCTGTCCAAGTCCATGAAAGTTAGCGTTTTATTCCCAGGAAGTTTCAGACGACGGAAGTCGTGGCTGTCACGCAGCTTATCTTCAATTACTTCCAGTCTCCTCCCCAGTACGCGTGAAAGCCAGACTCGTAGCCGCGTAAAAAACGTACAAAATAGCGACAAAGTTCATTGCAGCATTCCTTCTTTGGTTTCGTAATGCACACAGCCCAGTCCTTGAAGAGATGATCCTGAAGGGAACCTATGTCAGAAAGGCATCGGCGTATCCAGGACTCAGTAGCTGCGCAATGCTTCATAAGTTGTTCAAGTGCTTTTCGGATGTTTAGGCGAAGAACATGGAGGAACCCTAGTATTGTTTTCCCCGGTTATTTCTACTGAGCAGAGCACCTGCTCGAATCCCGCAGCTGAACAGGAGGAGAGCAAGAAGAGCTCAACGGCACAATCAGCACGTTTGCCGACATCGCCTCCAATACTTAGTCCCATTCATTCAGCAAGTATGTGCCGAGGCTTTAGGAAGAAGAAGCAATGTGTCAGTGAACGTAGTTCGATGGGTAGAAGGTTGAGAACGGTCAGTTATTTCAAATTGGGCACCCAGACTATCAGAGGGATTTCAAAGGATAAGGCCGACGTCAGCGCTCATGCAGAAGAATCGAGTCATTGGGGAGATAAAGTTGCAAGTGAACAGTTTCGGGAACGCCTAGAAAACTTAGCTGCTACGATGTCAAGATTGTCAAGGGATGAGACTCATCACTTTTCACCTGTGCCAGATTCCGAAGATTCTAGCAAAAGCTCAAGTGAGGACGCTGGCCGGCAATCCAATCTCGCCTTTCCGTTACGTGACTTCGTGGTAGTAGAATACATACTCTCATCGACATCTTGCAATGCTCCTCATGTTTTGCTGATCAGACACATCTAGGGCGTCGCCTGTTGCGGAACACGATCAAGAAGAAGTTTCGAAGTTGAGCCTTCGTTCCAAGTCGGAAGAAGATGCATCTGCTTCTAGTGAAAGCTTAACTTCAGTTAATTCTGCACCGCGCCTTCCTGACGCATCCAGTGAGTGCACACAGCGGCACGGTATACTCGGGGGCCCAACACAGCTGAGTGAAATCCGCGGCCCTCCATCGTACCCAGTAAAGCTCCCGCGTCTTAATCTATTTTGGACTAAGAAGGACACGCCTCGAAGACTGCGTGTTCTTCGTCTCCATGGGCTCTCCAGAGTGAGGAGTACCGACTCATCTGCTAGTCAAGAGCTCCACGCTTCTTCGGATAGCAGCGTAGCAAATCGCCGGGCCCAAATCATCAGGGACTTAATTCCTGCTGGAGTGCGCGATGAAGACTTCACCAGAACCGCACTGTGCCGAACGACGAATGCAGCAACGTCACCGCCAAGTGCAGGCAGCTCCGATGGACATATATGGGGACAATATTCTCCCCACGCCTCCGATGCTTCCGATAGCAGGCAGAGAGACCTTTCAAGTCAATCCACATCCAACAGGTGCATACATGAGTCTCCAGATACGCCAGAACAGTCTCCACTGACTGAAGCTCTGCGAAATGCTGAACTCTACCAGAAAAGGCAGATGACATTGACGACTGAACTAGCCTCAATATGTGGTGCTACGAATAAAGAAAAGAGGGGGGGAAAATGTGGATCTGAAAGCTTTAGACGGGAAGCCTCCAAGGAATGTACAACGCCTGCTCCACGAACCGCCCCACAACAGGCAAGGAAAAGAAGCACAGACAGCAACCTAGGTCCTTCACTGAGAGCCGCAAAGTCTGAGTACACTGCGAACGCTGCTGGCTCACAACAGCTCACAATAACTCCACCGTTAGCAGCAGCTGCTGAAGCAAAGGGAGGTGTTGCGTGTAGCCCTATGGACGAGACCACTGCAGAGCGTTTGCAAGACAACGATCCCTTCATTACTGCGAAGTACGCTGAGAACCCGAAACGGGCAGGTGTGGCTGCAGCGCAGGAAGACGCTGTCTTTGGTCCCATGACGAAGTCGGGAGCGGAGCGTTTGGAAGGGCGTGATGCATCGGTTAGTGGGAAAGCGGCTGGGAAGGCTGTGTCTGTTGGGAAACCTGCGGGAGCTCCTCCCGCGAAGCAGGCAGCTGGTAAGAGCGGTGCGTTGGCTGGCGACAGTGCAAGAGCACCGGCTCCGGCGGCGCCGTCTGCAGCAGTTGCAGGAGGTTCACGAGGAAGCGGAGCTGAAGGAGCAGGCCCGGGTGTACCGGAGGAAGGAGTTGTGTTTGGTCCGATGACGAAGTCGGAGGCGGAGCGTCTGGAAGGGCGTGACGCATCGGCTAGTGGGAAAGCGGCTGGGAAGGCTGTGTCTGTTGGGAAACCTGCGGGAGCTCCTCCCGCGAAGCAGGCAGCTGGTAAGAGCGGTGCGTTGGCTGGCGACAGTGCAAGAGCACCGGCTCCGGCGGCGCCGTCTGCAGCAGTTGCAGGAGGTTCACGAGGAAGCGGAGCTGAAGGAGCAGGCCCGGGTGTACCGGAGGAAGGAGTTGTGTTTGGTCCGATGACGAAGTCGGAAGCGGAGCGTTTGGAAGGGCGTGACGCATCGGCTAGTGGGAAAGCGGCTGGGAAGGCTGTGTCTGTTGGGAAACCTGCGGGAGCTCCTGCCGCGAAGCAGGCAGCTGGTACGAACGGTGCGTTGGCTGGCGACAGTGCAAGAGCACCGGCTCCGGCGGCGCCGTCTGCAGCAGTTGCAGGAGGTTCACGAGGAAGCGGAGCTGAAGGAGCAGGCCCGGGTGTATCGGAGGAAGGAGTTGTATTTGGTCCGATGACGAAGTCGGAAGCGGAGCGTCTGGAAGGGCGTGATGCGTCGGTTAGTGGGAAAGCGGCTGGGAAGGCTGTGTCTGTTGGGAAACCTGCGGGAGCTCCTGCTGCGAAAGAGGCAGGTTTAAGGAGCGGTGCGTTGGCTGGCGACAGTGCAAGAGCACCGGCTCCGGCGGCGCCGTCTGCAGCAGTTGCAGGAGGTTCACGAGGAAGCGGAGCTGAAGGAGCAGGCCCGGGTGTACCGGAGGAAGGTGTTGTGTTTGGTCCGATGACGAAGTCGGAGGCGGAGCGTCTGGAAGGGCGTGACGCATCGGCTAGTGGGAAAGCGGCTGGGAAGGCTGTGTCTGTTGGGAAACCTGCGGGAGCTCCTCCCGCGAAGCAGGCAGCTGGTACGAACGGTGCGTCGGCTGGCGACAGTGCAAGAGCACCGGCTCCGGCGGCGCCGTCTGCAGCAGTTGCAGCAGGTTCACGAGGAAGCGGAGCTGAAGAAGCAGGCCCGGGTGTACCGGAGGAAGGAGTTATTGTGTTTGGTCCGATGACGAAGTCGGAAGCGGAGCGTCTGGAAGGGCGTGACGCATGGGTTAGAGGGAAAGCGGCTGGGAAGGCTGTGTCTGTTGGGAAACCTGCGGGAGGTCCTCCCGCGAAGCAAGCACCTGGTAAGAGCGGTGCGTTGGCTGGCGACAGTGCAAGAGCACCGGCTCCGGCGGCGCCGTCTGCAGCAGTTGCAGGAGGTTCACGAGGAAGCGGAGCTGAAGGAGCAGGCCCGGGTGTATTGGAGGAAGGAGTTGTGTTTGGTCCGACGACGAAGTCGGAAGCGGAGCGTCTGGAAGGGCGTGACGCATCGGCTAGTGGGAATGCGGCTGGGACGGCTGTGTCTGTTGGGAAGCCTGCGGGAGCTCCTGCTGCGAAAGAGGCAGGTTTTAGGTGCGGTGCGTTGGCTGGCGACAGTGCAAGAGCACCGGCTCCGGCGGCGCCGTCTGCAGCAGTTGCAGCAGGTTCACGAGGAAGCGGAGCTGAAGGAGCAGGCCCGGGTGTATCGGAGGAAGGAGTTGTGTTTGGTCCGATGACGAAGTCGGAAGCGGAGCGTCTGGAAGGGCGTGACGCATCGGCTAGTGGGAAAGCGGCTGGGAAGGCTGTGTCTGTTGGGAAACCTGCGGGAGGTCCTCCCGCGAAGCAGGCAGCTGGTAAGAGCGGTGCGCTGGCTGGCGACAGTGCAAGAGCACCGGCGCCGGCAGCGCCGTCTGCAGCAGTTGCAGGAGGTTCACGAGGAAGCGGAGCTGAAGGAGCAGGCCCGGGTGTATCGGAGGAAGGAGTTGTGTTTGGTCCGATGACGAAGTCGGAAGCGGAGCGTCTGGAAGGGCGTGACGCATGGGCTAGTGGGAATGCGGCTGGGAAGGCTGTGTCTGTTGGGAAACCTGCGCGAGCTCCTCCCGCGAAGCAGGCAGCTGGTACGAACGGTGCGTTGGCTGGCGACAGTGCAAGAGCACCGGCTCCGGCGGCGCCGTCTGCAGCAGTTGCATCAGGTTCACGAGGAAGCGGAGCTGAAGAAGCAGGCCCGGGTGTATCGGAGGAAGGAGTTGTATTTGGTCCGATGACGAAGTCGGAAGCGGAGCGTCTGGAAGGGCGTGACGCATCGGTTAGTGGGAAAGCGGCTGGGAAGGCTGTGTCTGTTGGGAAACCTGCGGGAGGTCCTCCCGCGAAGCAGGCAGCTGGTAAGAGCGGTGCGCTGGCTGGCGACAGTGCAAGAGCACCGGCGCCGGCAGCGCCGTCTGCAGCAGTTGCAGCAGGTTCACGAGGAAGCGGAGCTGAAGGAGCAGGCCCGGGTGTATCGGAGGAAGGAGTTGTGTTTGGTCCGATGACGAAGTCGGAGGCGGAGCGTCTGGAAGGGCGTGACGCATCGGCTAGTGGGAATGCGGCTGGGAAGGCTGTGTCTGTTGGGAAACCTGCGGGAGCTCCTCCCGCGAAGCAGGCAGCTGGTACGAACGGTGCGTTGGCTGGCGACAGTGCAAGAGCACCGGCTCCGGCGGCGCCGTCTGCAGCAGTTGCAGGAGGTTCACGAGGAAGCGGAGCTGAAGAAGCAGGCCCGGATGTATCGGAGGAAGGAGTTGTATTTGGTCCGATGACGAAGTCGGAAGCGGAGCGTCTGGAAGGGCGTGACGCATCGGTTAGTGGGAATGCGGCTGGGAAGGCTGTGTCTGTTGGGAAACCTGCGGGAGCTCCTCCCGCGAAGCAGGCAGATGGTAAGAGCGGTGCGTTGGCTGGCGACAGTGCAAGAGCACCGGCTCCGGCGGCGCCGTCTGCAGCAGTTGCAGGAGGTTCACGAGGAAGCGGAGCTGAAGGAGCAGGCCCGGGTGTATCGGAGGAAGGAGTTGTGTTTGGTCCGATGACGAAGTCGGAAGCGGAGCGTCTGGAAGGGCGTGACGCATGGGTTAGTGGGAAAGCGGCTGGGAAGGCTGTGTCTGTTGGGAAACCTGCGGGAGCTCCTCCCGCGAAGCAAGCACCTGGTAAGAGCGGTGCGTTGGCTGGCGACAGTGCAAGAGCACCGGCTCCGGCGGCGCCGTCTGCAGCAGTTGCAGCAGGTTCACGAGGAAGCGGAGCTGAAGGAGCAGGCCCGGGTGTATTGGAGGAAGGAGTTGTGTTTGGTCCGACGACGAAGTCGGAAGCGGAGCGTCTGGAAGGGCGTGACGCATCGGCTAGTGGGAATGCGCCTGGGAAGGCTGTGTCTGTTGGGAAGCCTGCGGGAGCTCCTCCCGCGAAGCAGGCAGCTGGTAAGAGCGGTGCGCTGGCTGGCGACAGTGCAAGAGCACCGGCTCCGGCGGCGCCGTCTGCAGCAGTTGCAGGAGGTTCACGAGGAAGCGGAGCTGAAGGAGCAGGCCCGGGTGTATCGGAGGAAGGAGTTGTGTTTGGTCCGATGACGAAGTCGGAGGCGGAGCGTCTGGAAGGGCGTGACGCATCGGCTAGTGGGAATGCGGCTGGGAAGGCTGTGTCTGTTGGGAAACCTGCGGGAGCTCCTCCCGCGAAGCAGGCAGCTGGTAAGAGCGGTGCGTTGGCTGGCGACAGTGCAAGAGCACCGGCTCCGGCGGCGCCGTCTACAGGAGTTGCAGCAGGTTCACGAGGAAGCGGAGCTGAAGGAGCAGGCCCGGGTGTACCGGAGGAAGGAGTTGTGTTTGGTCCGATGACGAAGTCGGAGGCGGAGCGTTTGGAAGGGCGTGACGCATCGGCTAGTGGGAAAGCGGCTGGGAAAGCTGTGTCTGTTGGGAAACCTGCGGGAGCTCCTCCCGCGAAGCAGGCAGCTGGTACGAACGGTGCGTCGGCTGGCGACAGTGCAAGAGCACCGGCTCCGGCGGCGCCGTCTGCAGCAGTTGCAGCAGGTTCACGAGGAAGCGGAGCTGAAGGAGCAGGCCCGGGTGTACCGGAGGAAGGAGTTGTGTTTGGTCCGATGACGAAGTCGGAAGCGGAGCGTCTGGAAGGGCGTGACGCATGGGTTAGTGGGAAAGCGGCTGGGAAGGCTGTGTCTGTTGGGAAACCTGCGGGAGCTCCTGCCGCGAAGCAGGCAGCTGGTAAGAGCGGTGCGTTGGCTGGCGACAGTGCAAGAGCACCGGCGCCGGCGGCGCCGTCTGCAGCAGTTGCAGGAGGTTCACGAGGAAGCGGAGCTGAAGAAGCAGGCCCGGGTGTATCGGAGGAAGGAGTTGTATTTGGTCCGATGACGAAGTCGGAAGCGGAGCGTTTGGAAGGGCGTGACGCATCGGTTAGTGGGAAAGCGGCTGGGAAGGCTGTGTCTGTTGGGAAACCTGCGGGAGCTCCTCCCGCGAAGCAGGCAGCTGGTAAGAGCGGTGCGCTGGCTGGCGACAGTGCAAGAGCACCGGCGCCGGCAGCGCCGTCTGCAGCAGTTGCAGGAGGTTCACGAGGAAGCGGAGCTGAAGGAGCAGGCCCGGGTGTACCGGAGGAAGGAGTTGTATTTGGTCCGATGACGAAGTCGGAGGCGGAGCGTCTGGAAGGGCGTGACGCATGGGCTAGTGGGAAAGCGGCTGGGAAGGCTGTGTCTGTTGGGAAACCTGCGGGAGCTCCTCCCGCGAAGCAGGCAGCTGGTACGAGCGGTGCGTTGGCTGGCGACAGTGCAAGAGCACCGGCTCCGGCAGCGCCGTCTGCAGCAGTTGCAGGAGGTTCACGAGGAAGCGGAGCTGAAGGAGCAAGCCCGGGTGTATCGGAGGAAGGAGTTGTGTTTGGTCCGATGACGAAGTCGGAAGCGGAGCGTTTGGAAGGGCGTGACGCATCGGTTAGTGGGAAAGCGGCTGGGAAGGCTGTGTCTGTTGGGAAACCTGCGGGAGCTCCTCCCGCGAAGCAGGCAGCTGGTACGAACCGTGCGTTGGCTGGCGACAGTGCAAGAGCACCGGCTCCGGCGGCGCCGTCTGCAGCAGTTGCAGGAGGTTCACGAGGAAGCGGAGCTGAAGGAGCAGGCCCGGGTGTACCGGAGGAAGGAGTTGTGTTTGGTCCGATGACGAAGTCGGAGGCGGAGCGTTTGGAAGGGCGTGATGCGTCGGTTAGTGGGAAAGCGGCTGGGAAGGCTGTGTCTGTTGGGAAACCTGCGGGAGGTCCTCCCGCGAAGCAGGCAGCTGGTAAGAGCGGTGCGCTGGTTGGCGACAGTGCAAGAGCACCGGCTCCGGCAGCGCCGTCTGCAGCAGTTGCAGGAGGTTCACGAGGAAGCGGAGCTGAAGGAGCAGGCCCGGGTGTATCGGAGGAAGGAGTTGTGTTTGGTCCGATGACGAAGTCGGAAGCGGAGCGTCTGGAAGGGCGTGACGCATCGGTTAGTGGCAACGCGGCTGGGAAGGCTGTGTCTGTTGGGAAACCTGCGGGAGGTCCTCCCGCGAAGCAGGCAGCTGGTAAGAGCGGTGCGTTGGCTGGCGACAGTGCAAGAGCACCGGCGCCGGCTGCGCCGTCTGCAGCAGTTGCATCAGGTTCACGAGGAAGCGGAGCTGAAGAAGCAGGCCCGGGTGTATCGGAGGAAGGAGTTGTGTTTGGTCCGATGACGAAGTCGGAAGCGGAGCGTCTCGGAAGGGCGTGACGCATCGGTTAGTGGCAACGCGGCTGGGAAGGCTGTGTCTGTTGGGAAACCTGCGGGAGCTCCTCCCGCGAAGCAGGCAGCTGGTAAGAGCGGTGCGCTGGCTGGCGACAGTGCAAGAGCACCGGCGCCGGCGGCGCCGTCTGCAGCAGTTGCAGCAGGTTCACGAGGAAGCGGAGCTGAAGGAGCAGGCCCGGGTGTATCGGAGGAAGGAGTTGTGTTTGGTCCGATGACGAAGTCGGAAGCGGAGCGTTTGGAAGGGCGTGACGCATGGGTTAGTGGGAATGCGGCTGGGAAGGCTGTGTCTGTTGGGAAACCTGCGGGAGCTCCTCCCGCGAAGCAGGCAGCTGGTAAGAGCGGTGCGCTGGCTGGCGACAGTGCAAGAGCACCGGCTCCGGCGGCGCCGTCTGCAGCAGTTGCAGCAGGTTCACGAGGAAGCGGAGCTGAAGGAGCAGGCCCGGGTGTATTGGAGGAAGGAGTTGTGTTTGGTCCGATGACGAAGTCGGAGGCGGAGCGTCTGGAAGGGCGTGACGCATGGGTTAGTGGGAAAGCGGCTGGGAAGGCTGTGTCTGTTGGGAAACCTGCAGGAGCTCCTGCGGCGATGCAGGCAGCTGGTAAGAGCGGTGCGTTGGCTGGCGACAGTGCAAGAGCACCGGCTCTGGCGGCGACGTCTGCAGCAGTTGCAGCAGGTTCACGAGGAAGCGGAGCTGAAGGAGCAGGCCCGGGTGTACCGGAGGAAGGAGTTGTGTTTGGTCCGATGACGAAGTCGGAAGCGGAGCGTCTGAAAGGGCGTGATGCGTGGGTTAGTGGGAAAGCGGCTGGGAAGGCTGGGCCTGTTGAGAAATCTTCAGGGCAACCTCGCGATATGCGGACAGCCCTTAGAAGCGCCCCATTGGCTGGCCACAGTTCAGGTGAAGCGGCGCTGCGCAGAGCAGCTGCAGAAGGTGCAGCAGAGGAAGTAGTGGGAGGGGCAGGAGTTTCTGGTGCGGAGGAGGGTGTTGTGTTTGGTCCATTGAAGAAGAAGATTGGCAAGTGTTTGGAACTGCGTGATTCGTCAGCTCCGCGTGAGGCCACTGAGTGGATTTCATCGGTTGGACGACGATGTAACATATATGATGTTCGCTATTGTTGTTATGCCCGGTTAACATTTGCTTCATAGATTGTCTTGCGCTATGTGTCTCGTTAGTAGAGTAGCGTGTTTTGGTAATGAGATACGCAGTGGTACTGGTGTTGAGATGAACTTGTCCGAGTTGTTTGGGTTGTACCACTTTGCGATGAGAATGTAAAGCGATGCTTCGTCTTGTTGTTGTGTTGTTTGTCATGCAGTCACTAATAAGAAGCTTGAAGGGAAAGCGTCTAAAGTATTCAGGTGCACGCGTTCCATGAATAATCCTGCGCTTGGTTCGCCAGTCGCGTCGAATGTCTTCCCTCCAGATACTGGAGCGGCTAAATCTGAGCCCACACAAGTGCAGAAGAGTACGGACGAGTTTGTGGAAGTACCACTCTTGCGCCTTCACACACATACTGCGGGGGGCAAGACGCTAACACTCAAGGTGGCTCCTAAACGGAGCAACTCATCACAGGGCTTTATTCACTGCAGAGAAGCAAAACCTGCCTCCCTGCCTGTTGCGCACGGTGAATTGGGGGAACGTAGTAAAAACGGTGTTGCAGTGGCAGCACGTCACTTGTCCGAAAGGCCAAAGGGTAATCACTTCATTTCACATGCAGGTCCACCAACTGCGCTATCCGCACCAGCTAAGCCGATATCCCCAAGAAGAGCAGTAGGCGTAGTTCCAGCTGACACCTCTGTGAGGCAGATGAGCTGGGTTTTGGAGGAACGTGAAGACGGAGGCGCCGAGTCTGAGAGTGCTACTATCATAAACGCAAAAGAGTCACCTAAACGTACGACGGGAGCGCAGCCCTCTCTAGACGCCGTTGCGTCTACCTATCAAGGGCATCCAGACTCTTCAGTAACTCCACACAGTGCTCATGGGAGCGTGCCGAAGCTTCTTCCTTCAGGGAATTCTTACTACCGCATTTCGGCCAAGTCGGCGAAGGCAGATAGCAACTGTGTTACCCTACAAGACTTTACCCAGCCTTCTGTGGAGAATGCGAAAGTAAATGTTCCTGATTTTCGTGATGCATCATTGAGTAGAAGTAACGGAAAATATATCTGGGTACATAAGCCCAGTGAAGAGCTTCTGCGGGAACACGTAACGTGTGTGTTGGATTTTTTAGGAGGCTACCCGCATTCAAGCCACCTGGCGAGGACGAGATGTGAGAACATGGGTACAGGCTGCATCTATTGTGCGCCGTATAAAGTGGGACTGTTCTTCTGAAGAGAAAACTACGCTGGCACTTGGCAAGGTTCAGGCTACTCCTGCTGGCTTTAAATTGAAGAACGGTCCCGAAGATGCGGGCGAATTAAAGCCTCGGAGGAAGTCAATAACCACCGATATTTCTGTCGCAAAACCAGCTCCGGCAAAATCTATCCCAGCAGAGGAGACCCTTTCACGTGAGTCAGTTGTCCCGTGTTTTATTGCAGTATCCAGGGAGAGCTAGGCTAAGCTTGCTCTTGGAACGTGGTTTTGACGAAGCAGCTGCATCTGAATTTCTATGTGTGGATCTGCAGAGCAATCAGAAAAAGATATGAGCTCCGTCGAATGCATTCCTAATACAGGGGAAAGCTCAGTCTCAATATCTAGATCACTGAATAGAGAGACAACAGAAGAGCTGGAAGCACCGCATAAAAAGTGTGGTGACACTTATGCTGCTCCAGAGGGCTCTGTAACTGGGGCTTATGCCGGAAATGGGAACGGTAGTGATACTTTGGAGATAAAGGCCGTCGTGGATGCGGAGGTTGGCGGACCTGACGAAGCTACGCAGCTAAGTGTTGGACTTTCTCAGGGCACGTTACCATTAGCCCCAACAGAGTGTTCAAGGACCCCTTGCGGCGATCCACCTGATGTAACGGAAGTTCCTTTAATAAGCCAAAGAACACTTGTGTCCGATTTAAGAAAAGCAGATTCGGAAGACTCAAGCTCCCTAAAATTAACGTGCCAGGCATCTCAGGGACCAACTGCATCCGAGCTGCATCCCTCATCCTTTGATTTGCCACAAACACAATCGTTTCTGCCTCTTCGCAATAGTGGCACCTTACGTGGAAAGGACAACAACACGAATAGCTTTCTCCCAAGCGCAGGAGAGCTCACTGCAAATGTAGCTCTGCGTGGGCGCAGCGGCTCAAATTGGAACCTCGTTGTTGGTCTTGACAATGCAAAATCCACGCCTGGAAGCGACCTGCTGGATGTAGAGAGTGACGGCAAGCCATTGGTGTCTCTAGAAGTGTCGGAAACCGCAGAACGAGGGCAAACATTAGCTGTTGAAGAACCTTTGATGTCCGGAATCGCCTGCGACCAGTCGAATGTTGGTCCTAAAGTACCGTCGTCTGGGCCGATTGACAGGTTATCAGAGAGAAGTGGTGGCGATCCAGCTAGGCTGGGCGATCGTCAACCTCCAGAGGTTGATGCATACTCTTCAAAGAAAAACAGAAGGAATGTTGCATTTTCTGTGGCTCCTTTTGTACCCTCCATAGGGCGGCCAACAAGGGCAGTTCACCAAGCACAGAAGCAAAAGGAAGAGCCAGTAAAAGTCAACACTGAAAGACGCGAGCAAAGATCTGATGGCCAAGCGGAAGATTCCGCTCCGAATTTCGGTAGACGCGTCTCCTCAGCACTACGCAGTGCATATTCCACCTTCAGCAAGATGGCACCATCTGGGAAGCAGCAGCCTGCTCAGCGAGAGGGGAGCAAAGATGCTCTACACGCCGCTGTGGGGTGGCTAAGAGGTCGGAGCTCCAGCAGGATTACGCAGGAACAAGAAGAAAAGATAACTCCAACTGGAGAGAGTAAAGCAGGCAGTAGATATGCTTCGCTCCACATCGACAAATTTGCGCGACTAGGGCTAGACGCACAGCAATCAACGACTCCAGTCGCTCACGTAGCTACTTCATCATTGGAATCCGAAGACACTCCAGTGGACGTAGCAGACCGCCAAGCTCTGGCCTTTGAGACCAAGAGGTGGGGGAGGCGTTTCACAGCCGTCAACACTCATGAGCCTCGACCAGTCAGCACAGGACCAGCTCTTAACCCCTATCGTCGATCACATCGAACAGAACAGTTCTCTGAGACGCAGGTACAGCCAATACCAAAGAAACAGTAATTTCATTTCTATTTGTGGCTGTAGCTAGGCAACTGAAACAGACTTCTATCGGTAGTATCGGTAGCAGACACTTCAGCGCCACAAGCAGCATAAGCAAGGACAGCACAGGAGTCGTTGGCGCAAAGGGCTTTTTGTTTGGGTCTGGGGGTAACTGTTTGATGAAGAATTGGCCATTGCCTACTTATGACAAGGTTGGGGAGGCTGTGCCTGGAGTGAAGAAAGCAGACCACTTTTTCTCCACGGGCAGCTGGGGAGGATACTGCTGTCCTTCCCGAGAGCCCAGCACCGTCAGCAGCAGCAGGAGTGGTTGGAGCGGAGAATGGTGTTGTGTCTTGATATGTATTTTTCTCGAAAATTGATTCACCCATTTTAGATTTTCACCCATGTTGCCTCGGCCAAAAAGCTGACTAGACGCGTGGCCAGCAACAACTTTTCCTGTTTTCTTCACGAATTCCCTACCAAACTTCGGAAAGTTGCGGTAGCCCAATTAGTCCTTTTTTGTGGCCGACGCATCTCGCTTTCTTTACCGCGCCCTCATTCCTTCTGGAGATATACAATGGGTCAAGAAAAAGCTCTTGCAGCTCTCGCTGTAGCTCTTCAGAGCTGCCGTTTGTCACATCGGCAGGCCCACAAACGCAGGCACCTACCGTTACTTGTTCTCAAATTAGGGGAGCCTTAGATGCAGGGCACTTTTACGTCTGTACAGTATATAAGAAACTACGAAATGTAGCACTTTCTGGTACGGAATTTCACCTATATTTGAAAAAATCAAATATGTCTTCACAATGCCTCATATGCGATACTGAACCCAAGTATGGTTTGCAAACGTTCATTCGTTCCAGTAAAAGGCGGCGCAACCAAAAGGAACGACCACATTCTGAGCCTTTGCCCTCTTGTGGGCCGCTTGGATCCCACAAAACTGCTGCTTATGTTTAGCTCCTGCGACGAAGCCACAAGAGAGCAAAAGGTATCAAAGCGGATGCACTTGAGTAGCTGTTGCGTCTGAACGTCACATGAACAGCACTCTGACGGATATTTACATGTGATTGCCACCATCTATGATATTGCTGGAATGCAAGAAAACAAGGCGGGAGCTTGTAGTTTTTCCATACGTTCGTTCTTTCACACGAGATAGTGAACCTGCAGAAGCTACTCCTGCGTTGTCCTTGCTCTTAGCCATGTGCAGTAGTTGCTGCTTAGAACAACGTGCTTCAATTCGTGTGGCAGCGTATAATTTTCTTTAACTCCTACATGAACAGGAGACAATTGGCGTGCCTCTTGCATCACGGGGCGTCAATGTTGTGGGGTCTTTTAACTTCAACTCCCGCACAACCACGTAGCGTTCAGCATCCAGGGGCCTTCTGGTAAGCATTATCTTAAAAGCAATTAATGCGAAACTGGTGCCTTACCGCTATGTTGATGCCTCCATTTTTGGGGTTCGCGCTAAGCTGCTGAGAGCGAAGTAGAAAATTCATTCATGTGAAGTCCACTACATTTTTGCCAGTTCTCAGTCCTCACCAATTGATTTGTATTCACAAGTCACCAGAGACACTGTTTGACGGGCGCCTGCTCCGATCTTCAGGAAGCTTGTACACTGCACCAATTATAATTAAATTTTCGGCAGTATCCGCAGTTTTGCTTGTTTCGCAGCCCTGGGTGCGCTAACTAATCTACAGAGGCAGCTATAATCTTTGCACTTGTGTTTTACGTAAGATCTAAGAACATAACACCACCGAGGAAAATCTTCTTTTCAGGAGCTCGCCCATCTGCTACTAAAACTGCGGTGAATGGCCGATGGACGCAACTATTGGGAAACGATAGTATCCAGACATCAGCAATTCTCTTACAATTCCCAATACAAATCGAGAAAAGTTGCCAAGGTTTGGAAAATGAACAGAGGTGTCTTGAGGCGTGCCTACCGCTCCATGCACCCGCAAATTAAGGCTCCTTTCAGGTTTGCTTCCTCAGACTCTCACGGCAAGGCCATTTTAAAATAGTCTTCGTGTACGGGCTACATTTATATCTCTGTGCTCATCTAATTTTCCAGCCACGGAAGAAACTTCTATCCACTTCGCCGAAGATTTGGAAACCAAGAACTGCGACTAAAATTTTCGTTGCAACTTTTGGAAACAACATTATCTACTCCAGCTAAAATTGATATTGTTCTTAGGTTGTCAGTGCTAATTATAAAAAGTTTTCCATATGTGCCAGATCAAAAGATGTTAGGCCTGAACGCAGCAAAATGTTTTGGGCAGATTGAGGAAAGACGATTAGTAGGCAGTGTAGGCTATGTGGACATGCAGAGGGCCTCCAGAAGGGGACTCAGCAATGCATGCTATAAGTCCTTTAGGCAACTACACCGAATATGCTGAAATTAGTAAGTTTGTATTTCGCGAGCCGTTGCAGCACTTTGGACCGATGCTAGCACTGGCTTCTGGTAGGGGACACACTCGACTGGATAACTCAAAACGATCGCGACCATACAACTAATGCTGTTGTAATTTACAGACGAAAAGTCATTTAACTGGTAATTTTTGATTAGTACAACCTTGCTGCTCTGCGGAGCGGCTTGCGTCGTACGCCCGTTCCCAGGACGCATTGGCTGAGCGATTGCCCTGGCAGCTGCAGCGCTCTCAGTTCTCTACTCCCAGTACAACCGTATTGAGCTTTTTTCCACTGCTTTCTTTGTTTATTTTGCGTAGAATTCGTTTATTGGGAGTCTTCAGATGAGATTTTTTGGAAGTAACCGCCGTTCCGTCTCACTCCACTGGCGAGTACGCCTCGCAGTAACGCTGGATGCCTAACACGTCGACCCCCCACTTATGACCGCAGTGGCGTTCGGCGGTTTGTGTGTTCTGCGGCCTAACCTGTTCACATTTGTACTAATTCTGGCTCCTCTTGTGGAGGGCCAGCCACGCGGACAGTTTTCGTCCTCGCCGGCAGTGCAATCCTGAGCGTCGACGAGGAAGGTGGCGCAGAACTGTGGTCTTCTCAACTTAACAGCTTTTTAACTTGCTGTGACTGGTTCGCTACCACCAATGACCGTCCCTAGGCTCCTGCGACACGCCGCTACTGCGGCCTTGATCGCTCTCGGAACCTTTCAGGGTCAATCCGATCCAAGCAATGTAGTCGGACTCCTGCGTAATAATTTGAGCTGCCTTTGGGTCGTGGAAGCGAACGGGTCCAACAGCAACGAAACGAGTGGAGTGGGAAATGATTCTGAGGACAGTAGAAGAAGGGGAGAGGGAGGTGGTCCGGGTAGGAGCAAAAAAAACTCGTCGGGTGGTATCGTGCCAGAGATCCCTGAAAATAGAGGTGACACAGGACCTTCGGGGTCCAAAGGTGGTTCAGAAAATCGGGCGAGCGGTCTAAGAGGCGTTTCTTCGAATTCTCAGGGCAGCACTCCTTCGTCTCAGCCAGAGAAGCCAAGTTTACAGAGCATTTTTGGCAACCTCTTTCAGAATTTCGGCTCGGACGAAGTATGTCGATGGCTATAAGCACACGTTATGAGCAGCGCCATCATTCATATGCCCATTATACCTGTTAAGGGATGAGTGTATCTTCGCACTGTATCTTCGCACTGTGATTGTTGTATCACACTTGCGTTGTGCTTTTACAGGAAGGTGGGCACCCTCTTGCTGAACAGGCAAGTGATGCGAAAGCTTTTAATGACCTCATCGACCGAATTTTTGTTCCCCGCCTGCAGACCGCGTAAGTCCAGCCTCACCAGTTAAGATTGTCTTAGGGGCTTGCCGTAGTAGCCCTGTAAATCATCTGTGTTAGCTTCTTCTGTCTGCATGATAGAGAGGAGGAGTGGTTGAGGAATATTGGCGTTTGGTCGCTTCTTTGTGAAATTTGATGCAGACCTAAATATCAGGGGGCTTTGGAATCTATAAACGAGTCAATTTATCGTGACGTACTGAGGGGACCAAAGAAGGTCAAGGGAAATGTTCAGCTATTGCAGCAGGCGTACTCTGTCATTAATCATCCTGCGAAGATGTTAGATGTCCCCGACTTGTTTGTGGAGCTGCGCGCTGCCGCGGATCGTCGGATTTGGGATCAAACGCGCCAACGGGAGAAAGCGCAGTATGAGAGAAAGGGAGACCCGGTCCCAAAGAGGTTCGAGATGTCTGCTGATGATGTGGTGGCGCTGGAAGCTGAAGAGCCTAGGGTGCGAGAGGAGGAGCTGTCGAACACTGAACTGCAAGCTCGTATTCGCATGATAAATGGGTGGATGAAGGAGCAATTTCGTCTGCGCCTGTACTACAGCAAACGCACAGGCGCCTTAAAAGCAGACCCACAGGATCTTGTGGACACCTTCAATCCTGGCCCCAACGTTCCAGTAACAGTTGAGGACATCATTGGTCTGAGCTACGAGGCGGAGCTTGAACCTGAGCCTGAACTTGAGGATTCTGGGAAGCGACAGGTCCCTCATGGCGCAGAACTTTAATTTTTAAGATCCGCACCGCACAGCGTGCTGTTTTGGCTTAGAGGGAGGAAACGGCTGTTGTTTTCCAGTTTCTTCTGCAACTGCCGCATCAACAATCACAACCACGAACTTTTCGCAGCTTTTCGGTGGACGCTGCAGATAAAGACGGGATAGATGTCCCCGTTGTTTGAAAGGACAATTGTCCGAGGCCCATTTTGTCTCATGCCTTTCTGTCCCATGCATTTTTACGGGGACGGTTGCTGCAAATGTTAGCAACGCAGTGGCACGAAGCGACTAGCGGAGACGGCTTACCGGGTATTTGCTGTGACGAGGGCATGAAGCAGCAGGCGATGTGATACCAAAGAATCACGGTGTGCGCTGCTAGACAGAGAGTCATTCGGCACTAAACATTGGCGGGATTATGGATAGGTCTTTGTTTGGCATTTCCAGTTGCCATGTGAGGTCGACACGTTATATATCTTGAAGTTTGGGTTCTGGTGCTAGATGTGCGCGTGCTTTGGGTGCGCGCAACCTCAGTTCAGTGCTTCAGTAATTTAGAGGGCGTTCATTAGCCCTAGCCAGCAGCAGCAGCAGAGTAGTGGGAAGACGAGTGCTGCATCGAAGTCGAGAGAGTCACACTGGCTTTCGCTGTTGCCAGTAGTCTTTCAGCACTTAGCTTAAGGAAGCTCGTGTGAACAGACGCCACACTTCTCGCTAGTTTGGCGCAGATGCGGACGAAGCGGAACGCAAAAGCTTCGGTCCTGGCAGCCCTCATCTGTACGCACTCCTGCGCGGCTTTCCTAGTCCGCCTCGTTAGGCGTAGGGCGAGCAGTTTGAGTGTTGAACGAGTAACATGACTCAGGAAGCCACCCGCCGCTCGGGGGCAGCGAGCTCCTCGTGCGAACTTAATGGGCGGAGTCCCCCGGCTGTAGAGTTTGTGGCCAGATTAAGTGCTGGGAACTCTGGTACAAGGCCGTGCAGGGAGGAAGCAAGCACATGTGGTAACGTCGGCTGCTAAAATGGAAGCTACGGAGATCTCAAACAAAGTGGGACCCTTGCGTGAGCAGTCGCCGTGCTAAAGTGCCTTGCGAATGCCCAGTAGCTGCGCACAGCTAACTGCACACGTTGTGGGGAGCCCACGTCACTGTCCCCGGAGGCAGCGTGATACGAAGCTTGCTAGAATACTGCGACTCTGACGCTGTGATTCCGGCTGTTCGAATGTGTATGCCTACTGCAGTACATGGATCTCGTCATCTGGTGCTGTGCGCTACTGTAGCTTCGAGGAGAGCTGCACAGCAGCTCTCCTGGAAGCTGCGCGATGCCACATCAGTTCCCCCTACGGTTCGCTTCCTCAAGCATATCGACTCTCCCGTGGGGCTTCTACGGCTCGATGGAGTGATTACGACGCTTGCGGGTCCTGCGAGCAGCCTCTGAAGTTGCGCAGTGCTGCTTCCGCCGAATGGATCTGCTAGAAGTCGCGCTGTTTCCATCGCCTTTGAGCGTTGCACTTCCGGATGTTCTGGCGATTTCGGGCTCTACTTCTTCCCAATCCGAACTCCCCTTACTTTTCTGGCATATTCGCTTTCTTCGCCAGCAGCTCCTGCAAGCCTTCGACGCAATCTGCTTGATCCCGAACAGAGCAAGATAAACGTGAAACCGCAGCTTCTCTATGAACGAGGCGTCTCCCCTGTGCAGTTTCTGGTATCTGTCTACGAGGTGCGCAAGGCGCTTAATGTCCTCAGAGTTCGAAGATTTCTCTGGATCCAAATCTCGTTCGCCTGCCATGGCAGCCAAAGCCTTGGCCACAGCATCCTTGTGACGCTCATCAAACGAAGGCCCGCAGCCGGCTCCTTCGAACAAATTTAGCTGGGCCCTCGCATTTGCAGCATTAAACTTCTCGAACGCATCTCGGTTCTGTTCAATATCGGGATGCTCATCACGCTTCTGAAGGCCAAAAACATCAAGCCAGCAACTAAGCTTCCTCCCGAGTGACCCCAGAACGCTTGTTTTGCTCCTCACTGCTTCTGCAGCTGTGGCTTCGACTGCCTCAGACCTCGGATCATGTTCCAGTTTGCGAAACATCCCCTTTACAAGCTTCTTTTCCTTGATGGCATGGGTCGCCTTCAAGTGATTCAGCTGAGATCGCAATGACAGTGCTAAAGGGCTCCCCGGAGAGACTGTAAGATACCGATTTACGGTGGCCAAAGCTCCATCAAAGTCACCCAACTCCTGCTGGGCCTGAGCACCCTACAAAAGCAAAACAACTACATGTAAGTAAAACGCACCCAAATATCCAGGCAATATCCGCGCTTGTTTATCGCCGCATCCATAGAGCTACTGGGTGCACCACAAACAATATTATAGGAGAGAAGCAATGCAACCAGTCAACACGCATGACCTGTCGTGCGAAGAAGATCCACTTAGTTCCTCACCTGGGCTTTCCTGTACAGAGCCTTTAAGGCATTGGGGTCATTCTGCAGTGCTTTGTCACTGTACAAGATGCATGCAGACCAGCGGCCCTCCTTTAGGCAGGAGAGCGACAGGTTTAGCAAGTACGACTGATGCATCTACAGGCACGCACAAGATCAGAGGCAATGCAATCAGCCTAATGTGCTTTATGGCCGTGCGAACGTCTCTTTCACACGAAGAACTAGTGACACGGCGGCTGATGAGGGACGGCAAATATACACAAGGGTGTCGGTGTGTGAGTGAGGGGCATAGGGAAGAAGCCAGCACGGCATCCCGGGTTCTGTTTCGTTTGTAGTACGCAGGACTGTGGAGCGTACAGCAACGAACTCCCTTTTCTTGTCATCATCGAATTCGTCTTCTTTGGCCAATATATATTCAAGGGTGCGAAGGCCACGGCTCCAGGCGTCCGTCGCGCCTCGCCAATCCCCGGCTCGAAAGGCTCTTAGGCCTTCTTCTCGCACACTATCAGTAGATTTGGAGCATTTGTCGTCAGATGGGGTAGTATGGGGGGATTTTTCCCCCAGGTCCTCCTGCTGATCTGGTAGTGATGATGAAGAGCACAGTTCCTTGTCGCTGTCGTGGCTTTTCGTGGTATCATCAAATGCGACTGCGGATGGATCCATTTTGACAAACGAAATGAACTGGCCAGCGAAAACAGAAATATGCAAATGGAACGACAAACTGCAGCGTCAACTACGCTGTATGTTCTTTTGGAGCCCGAGAATGAGATTTACCCCTATGCAAAGAAAGTAGCGCTACTCCAGAAAGCATAAAAGCCGCACCGGCAACAAATTGGTAGCTCAGCTGCTCTCCCAAAAAAAGCCAAGACAACGCCACGGAACAGAGGAAGTTTGCCGCGAATACTGCGACGCTGCTGCTTCCAGCTGATGGGGCAACCAATAAACACTTGACGTGAAAGTTGAGCATAAGGCCGTTGCAAGCAAGCATACAACCAAAAACCAAGGCGCGTAGAAGCAGGACAGAGAAAAAGAAGAAAACTGCTGCTCCTACGGGCACTCCTCCTGGGGTCTTTGCGATCCTGAGGTCGCAACGAGCGCCAGAGGTGGCGAGCAGCAGCGCCTTCCCCGTTTCTTTTAACAGGGCTCCAAAGCTATCAGGCTTCAGATCAAGGTGCGTAAATCCCGTTTCTGGGAAGCCGCACACAATGCCGTCGTCCACGGGAACGGGTTGAAACAGCTTCTCCCGAAAAACGCTTGACAACTGCTGCAGTGGTTCGCCAGGGCTGAAGTCACAAGCTGACTTTCCTATAACCGATGCGGCAGCAGCTAAGAAGCCTGTAAGTGCCACAAGCTGCAAGAAACGCAAAGGCTTGAATGCTGTGGCTGCAGCTGGCGAGCCAGTGGTGACTGTAGGATCAATGCCCGTATAACTGGTCTCGTTCAAATCACCAGGCGCTGAACATGAAGGATCGACGGTAGATCCTGCTTGTCTCGAGGTAGCTAGCGTCACCGTCTTCCCTCCACTACTCCTTAAAGTCCTGTCTGGGTTTCCCTCTACCATCGCTTCGTTCGTTGTAACCCAGGCCGTGCTGTTGCGTTTCCAGCAGCTAGCAAACTAGAGACAATCAGCCTAAATAATCCTTTTAATTCAAGTGTTCACTGGATGGGAGACCGCTAGGGCTTCAAAATTTGACACAGGCGGGCAATGAGACAGCATAAGATTAACGGGGGCTGCTGGGGCTGTGCGGGCTGGAGAAGTCGTCGCCTTTTCGAGATGTATTTGATACCCGCTTCAAATTAATGGCACTAAATTTTAGTTCTTTATTTAGTTTGAGCAGCACTGTCTTCGGTAGCTACAAAGAACTGACGCGACTGACAACGCTTCAGCTGCATCTCCTACAGCTGTGCTTGGAACGCTCCGGTGTCCACTATTATCAGAGTTGCTCCCCTCAAATACTGCGTATTAATATGGGTGCATATATTGAGCTCGGGTGCTTACTTATACCGTGCGTGAGCAATTGTATATCTGCTCGGATTGATGCTTTGCATCGTTCTTTCCATGTATCTAGGTTCAACGTCACAGTTTCGAAGTTCCGAAAGTCCGTCTAGGCATCGCTTTTAAACATCACTTCTTGTTGTTGCCCGGTTTCTTTAGAACAACAAGTTCATTTCGTCAGAATAGCATCTCACTCCCTCGCATACTCAGATCAGTTGTCTGTAGTCAGGACAGTCCACTTTGCTGTTGGTCTTTGTCGGCTTGGTCTTGCGTATCTCTTACCAACTGTTGGAAATCAGATCTTCCAGTTAAGTAGACAGCATTATGGATACCGGCAGTAGCTGCTTAGTTCTTTGCTCCTACGTCTTCGTTGCCATGTGGGGTGGAGCTTCATGTTTGATATTTGAAGAATCTGCAGCTTTGTACGTTGCTTTTATGCTCTCTGTCGAGATGCATGTCTGAGACACGTCTCTGGAGAGGAGTAACTCATCACCTCTTTCAATGGGTATTGGCAATATGCTCCAAGGCAACACATAGCAGCAGCCTTCCAACTTTTGTTGCTCAGTCGGTTTTCTTTCGTTTGTACGCTAATCGTGCATGCGAAGGTGACAGCTTCTTAGTGTTCAGGAAAGGTTGGTCTTGTTTAATTCAGTAGGTGCCACCATGTATTAATTTGCCGTGAATTTTTCCCGGTATTGTCCAGTGCTGGCTGCGGGACGCATGAGCTCCCACAATATAGGACTCTTCGGAGCGTCCCTTCCAATCTTGAGCAATCTGAGATGCTGCTTGTTTCTATAAAAATACTAAGGGCTGTCATCTCTAATTCCTTCACGATATTCACCACTGCATTTCTCTATAAACTCATGCCCTTACGGGCGGACTTTCATCCACCCACCCTGTCCAGCTAGTCTGAACAATAAGGAAGATATATTAATCCGAAGTCCGCAGGGGAGTTTTTGTCTTGAGGCTGTTTTCCCTACATGTCAGAACGTAGGTCAAGGAGGAGGCAGCTGCTGGAGATGCGATAACTGTGGGCATGAGAGCCAGCACACCAATAGGCGTGTGCGGAAGACCCTACTGTCGGCTCCAGCAGAGTACGCAGTTTTGTCTTGACCCTGAACTGGCTCTGTCTTGTGTGACTGGCGCCTTCGGCGTAGTCCCTCTTTTATGGAACAGCGCGCTTGGGAGTGGCCGCCGATTGGCGCCTTGACTCCGCTGCCAACCAAGCTTTCCAACCATAATCTAATGATATATATACGGCGGTACGAATCCTGTGTAAGCGTGGGAAAATGACTGCGCAAAGAAGGATAGAGGTCCTATGCCGCAGGTATAATCGTAGGTATGGTTACGCCTTCGGTGAAGGAAGGAAACTCCCTACAAGAGCTATCTTACCAACCCTAGCTGTCGCTTCGCCCAGAAGACAATGGCATCAAAGTTGCAAGCCACGTTCATTCAAACCCAGCGGGCGATATTCAACAACTGAACTTATTGCTGAGAATTTTCAATCAGGCCTTGTGTCGAAGGGGACATTTGAGTGATATTCCGCTCTAATCTTGAAAAAAAAACTATTGAAAGCTTTAAAGTTGCAAAATCTACTCATTTACTAATAAAATGAGGCATATATCTTATTGACAGTCCCTAATTAGCAAGCGGCGAACACTACCTCGGAAACCCTACGCCCAAATCGCACATCAAGGGCTGTATCAACGGAAATTGACCCGTTTCGTGCATAGAAGAGCAACAATAGTAAGGAAAACGTTGTGGAGCCGGCTCATCATGGTACTGAAGCAGATTCCTGCGATTGTATAGCTAGATAACATACGTGCCTTTATTTTGCAGTCTCTCTCGAGAGGAATAGACACATTCCAGAGACGCGATTATACCGCTAGATTGGCGCGAACACTTGTGGCTGAAAGAGCAGAACGCTTATTGAGCTCACGTAAGTGAAGAAGCGAATCTGAAACTATGACAGGTAATGCTGGGGCAGTTGAAACATGAAGCAGCAAAGTTTCCGAGGGAAAACAGAAAAGCTGAGCCCTAGAAGTAATGCAGCTCCGTAAGGACCCAAGTGCAAATTTCGGTGACACCTATAACACACGACACCTAAACTACCAACAGAGGAAGCCAATGGTTTGCTTAGCACAGTACCAGCACAGCAAATTGGACACTTGAACATCTCTTATTGCGCCACTCCTAAACCACACCAAGCATTACTCAATCCCTGGCAGCACGATTCACTGCCCAGGGGTGTAGCTCTGTCCAGTTGCAAAGCCGCAGGCACTGCTTGCACCCTACTTATATTTTTTAAAAAACTGACGCAAGCAAAGCTGGAGAGCAATTTCACGGAAAACGCCACACTGTAATGCGGCTGGCAGAACGTTTCACCTAGCTTCTCCGGGACCAGGGGAGGATGTAAAAGCACAATGGCCACAAGGGTTCCAAAAATGACCAGATCAACTACAGATGGTGTTTCGAGCACAGCGGAGCGTGTTTCGGAGCGAAGACAGTGCTGTAACCAAATCTCATATCTGTCCAGGGAATGTGAAGACGCCTGACCCAGCGACCCCAGAACAAATGTGAGTGATGCTCTCCAAAAAATGAACTTTTGAAATACGCGAGCGTCGCCTTAAAATATTTAGTTGGTTCATTATAGCCCAACACAACTTGCAATCGTAGGCGGCTCTCCTGCCTAGCCCCACTATGGTACCAACGGGCGATCGGCAGATGCAGGGTGACGGTTTGCAGCCAATCTTCAGACCTTTCCTTTTACCCGTTGTCGCGCATTTAGGCAGGATTTTCTGTGAGCTTATACTATTCCACTGGTCTACCTGACCTAGTGGGATGACGCTACCGACCGCAACTACACAGCTCTGGAAGTTGCAGTTGGTAGGAATTTTGGTCTTGTTGGCGGCACAAAGCACGGTTCGCTCCTCCGCTTTTCGTGCTTTTGGACCGCTGGCTTGTGAGAAAAGGATTTTTCGTCAAAATTTGACGGCGCCTACTGCAGTTCGGTGGCCTGTGAGGGCCGAGACACCTCGCCAAAGGGCACCGTTGGAGACTTCTGCACGCAGGTCTGTACTAGTGCGTCTTCTCTCGTGTACCTGCCTGACACGCTATCCATTGAGACAGACAAGCTCTGTTGGATCAGCGGGGCTCGGTTTACAGGGTTCCAGCAGCGTTAAAGGTGTACGCACTGCCGTGAAGATGCCTGTTGTGCTTTCGCCGGGTGACACTATTGGTGGAGAGGGGCTTCATTGGTGCCCCAGCAAGGCAACTGGGACTTTGATTTTCATGCATGGTCTGGGGGACACTGCGGGAGGATGGACTGAATTACTCCAGCTTTTTGAGGCTGCTCAGATTCATGAGAAGGCACGCCTCATTCTGCCCACGGCCCCGACGCGCCCAGTCACGCTTAATATGGGTGTTCGCATGACGGCATGGAGTGATATAAGGGGTCTTTCTGCAGACTCTAGTGAGGATAAGGATGGCCTCATGGCCAGCAAAGCCCGGATCGACAGAATTATTGATTCAGAGATCAAAGCAGGCATCCACCCTTCGCGAATCCTGGTTGGCGGGTTCAGCCAGGGTGGAGCTCTTGCGTATTTGGTAGGCCTCACATCTCCACACAAGCTAGGGGGTATACTTTCTCTTTCTTCGTGGTGCCCACTCGGCAAGGAGATCCAAGTTTCCCCGCATTATGCCCAGGCTGTTCCTCGCATCCTGCACTGTCACGGTGCTGTAGATGACATTGTTCGTCCCATATACGGACAAACAAGCGTGGAGAGCGTGAGAAATAGGCTAATAGATTCGGGGGCTAGGCCTGAGAAGTGCCAGGATGACATTACATTCAAGCTGTACGAGGGGCTGGGACATTCAGCAAATCAGCAAGAGCTCAACGACATCAAGGTGTTCCTTTCACGCATATTCAACGCAAAGTAAATAATGACGATTTACGCAGGTATGGACTTCGCTGGGGAGTTCCACTGTTCATATTTCAGTGGCAACTCGTCAGGTGCTACTCTGCACAACGTGGCTCGCGAAAGCCTTCCGACGCTTCTAGGCGCAGGCAAACAAGCAGAGTTATACCGGAGCCATTCGTTGGTTTACATTCGTGACTTCTGTGGCGATACGGACGACTGAAGCTTCCAAGATTCCAAGCTTTGGCGCATGAACAGGTAGTAACCGTACACCAAGTGGACTGCGCTGATCATGCTTGTGTATACCATTACATAGCAGAGGGGATAGTACTGTACATGACGGTTTAGCAGGGGTCGCTGTACATGGTGGCTTGGCAGGGGCTACTTCCTGTACATGGCGGTTCGGCAAAGGCTCCTGTACACGGTGGCTTGGCAGAAGCAGCTGTTCATGATAGCATTGCACAGGAGCCAAGCAGCTTGTGCTTTGGGACATGATGGCTCAAATGGAACCGAGAAGAACACTCTTTACTCTGTAGAGCTAGCTTGAGCAACGGACAGTCCCAGTTTGCCCTAAGACGTCCATCCTGGTGTTATAATTTGGATGGGAAGTGTCGGAGAGACATGCTTGTTGATGAGCGGAACCTTTTTTTGGGTTCTTCTTAACAAGTAAGAGTCCGTATTTCAGTCCCAAAGTAGCTGATTCCGGGAGCTGACGGGGAGAGAGCGTGGCGAGGCCACTCTATGAATATGGCGTTTTCATACAATGCCGTGCATGGAAAGGGCTTTTGTACTTAGGCTGAAGTAGAAGAATAGCCTATTGGTGACACATCAGTTAGATTGGTAGTCA